ACAAAGTACTTCATTAGTATTAAACTAGAATATTAAGCATTGTCAAAATTTAACAAAAAATGATTTGGCCATAGGACTTTGAATCTCTAAACTCTTAGATCTTAAAAGTATGTAAGATGCCGTTAATTCTAATACTAGGAATAATTTGCCACCAATTCATAGCATTATACAATAAATGACATATCATGGCTAACACAATTATTGGACCATTGTCAACAAGTACACAACTGTAGATCAAATGATCACAGACATTTGCACATAGGTATCATATCATTCTTTTATTTAATACAATCTTTGAATACTTGTCAAAGCAATCATGTAATGTTTTGGATTTTAAAACCACACATATACTTGTAAATAATATAAGCTATCTAGATCCCATATGTGCATGCAATTAGCATTATGCTATTCATTTAGAAACCTATTGCCAACTACATTGCTTACTTTCATATTATTGAAGTCCAACAAATAATCTATGCAATAACCATCATCTCAATACCATCTATTGAGTATTGGATAAAACCAAGCAATAATGAAATTGATCTTGCTTCAATCCTATTGCCCTTAATATAATATCCATCAAACCACCTAAAGAAGCATTACATTTATATAGAAGATATTGGAATAGCCAAAAGAATGTTTAGATGTAGTTGATACAAGAGTATTAGGTATAATTTCTTAACTTATAAGGAACAAATTTTGTTCCAACATTGACATATAACTTCATGTGATGTTTGATTTTTTTTTTCAATAGATATATTTTGAATCAAATTATAATAATATTGAAAGTCAAATAAAAAATTATATATTTTTTTATTAAATAATTTCTATTAAATTTTGGAATTACAATAAAAAAATATATAATTTTTTTATTAAGTATAATAAAAAAAAATTAATTAAGTGCAGCTACATTGATTAATTTTTTTTAGGTATAGCAAAAAAACTTGAAGTAATGTAATCATATGACAAATTACCTATACAAAGTATTTTTTTATTTTTTTACATTAAACTTTAAATTAGATGTTTAAATTTCTATATTTATGCATATATATATGCATACATATATAGATATATATATATATATATATATATATATATATATATATATATATATATGTCTAATGGAAAATAAATTTTATTTAATTTTTATATATTTAAAATAAGATATAAAATAGTATGATTTAACTTTATTGGCACAAGTTTTTTATATATAATTGTATTAAAGAAAAATACTATATTAAACATACTTGGTTGTCAAATTGCCAAAATATTGATGTGATAATTATTTAATTAGTGTTGGAATAAAGTAAAGGTGGCTAAATTATAGTTTTGCATATAATAATTTTTTTTAATATTAGTATTAGATATATTTTAATCCAAATATATAATTTATTAGATTTATGAAAAATAACTTATATTCTATTATAATACATTATATTTTAAAATAAATAGCTTAGACAATGTAAAGCAAAATATAATTTTGATACGAGTAATATTCTACTTGTATACTTGGATAGATTTGAAGGTATAATTTTTCTTTTTATAATACTTCAATTCAAAATATACATATATATATATATATATATATATATATATATAGTTTAAATTAGTTAATAAAGTTATAATTAATTCATAATATTCCTATTTTATTTTTTGAATCATTGAATTTTTTATTATTTTTATTTTTTACATTAATTTTGATGGTCTTAACATATGTTTGAGAATACAATCTTAATTTTATTAGATGTTAAGAATAAAGTTCTTAAAAAATTGTTCATAAAATTATTTAAGATAAATTAATACAAAGTTAAGAATAAGAATATAAAACTTTCTTAGTTGTAAGTCTAACAATGCTAGTTAGTGTTTCTATCTGAAGATATGATATTTTATATTTTTATAGTTTAACTTCATTGTATTCTTTATTTTAAAAAATTAATAATTATTCTATGGTATGGAAGTCTTGGAAAGCATTATCTTAGAAACAAAAGAAAAATTACTAAAAAAAAATCTCAAATTTAAAAAGATTCAAATCTACATAGTTATTTCTAAAAATAATATACTAATAAATAATATAGATTTAAAGAAATACAATGGATTTTTTAAAGTAACTCTAAGTGGAACAAGCACACTTAAAAATTCATATAGAAAAGCTTTTATGAGTAAATGTGGTTTTTATGAAATATAAATAAACAAAAAGATCTAGAAAAAAAATATATATCTTGAAATCAATTTAATGTATTGATGGAACTATTCTTGGGTAGGGAGAAATATAATATTAAATAAAAATAGAATTATACTTAGATAAATAATTAGAGTTTTCTAAAAAAACTTAATTAAATATACATCAAATAAGCCAACATCAATAAAGACTATAAGATTATTTTTTGTTTACTTAGCCTACTTCTTTGAACTGCTTGGAACTTTTTGATGTTAATAATTTTATGAATTCTTTAGCCTTAAACTTAATTTTAGTTTTGATTCTTTTGATTTTTTTGTGAGTAAACTAAATGAAGTATATTTGGTCATTACGTTTTGCATAAATCCTAATGAATAATTCCTAATAAGTCATAATTATTGAATATGATTTAATTAATTAAGCACATATTAAAAAATAAATTTTAATTTAAGATGATTTGATTTTTACAATTACGAAAAAAAATTCAACAAACTACTATTCCATAAATGCTATATCAAATGGGATCTAACAGTATATAAGTTCAATGCCATTTGCAATTTAAGGCTCTACATATTATTAGGCTTGCTCCCATGTTTGTTAACCTTGTTTTTCCTTCTCTACCAAATGAAAAAGTAATAAAAAGTAAAAGTAAAATAAGTTGGGCCTAAAACTCAATATGGGATGATGTTGCCCAGGCAAATGTGCAGACATACTTGACACCAAGACCTGATTTTAAAGAATTTTTAAATTTTCAAAAAAGAAAAGTAAAGGAGTTGAAATAGCAAAAACTTGTGTAGCGTGAGACTAAATTATGGGCAGAACAACCCTCCTTGCTCACAAGTTGATCCTAAGAGTACATCCCCAGTTCTCCATGTCCTTGAAAAAGCATTAGTCTTGCAAAACCACTAATTCAAAGCCACGGATATCTTCAACCATCCTCCAATTCTTTCAGCAGAGCTGGTAATATGGTTACAAGTATTGCATTGTAGACATGGATTCAAACAAGGAATCTTAATGGAAGGATTCAACAATAGAGGCTTTGGGAACCTCCATGTGAACAAATCCAAAGAAATAACTTCCACGATTTTGGAAGAGGGTCTAGTTGTAAGCTGCAGGAACTCTCTAAGATGCTGAGAATTCATGTTGAGGCCCTAAGCAAGTTTGAAGCGCCATTTAAGTTGCACATGCACTTTTCTAGTAAAGCTCTTGAAGAAATCAGACTCTGAGAGTGAGATGCAAGGGTTTTGTGCAGATGATGATTTCGTTTGCCACCATGGGCACATACCCTAAGCCCACTTAAGCTCAAAGACAGCAAATAGCTGCTGCTCACGGACTTGGCGACCATAGAATAAGATGTCAAGTACAAGATGACACTTGATTCCAGCTCAAAATTTCATGGAGTATAGTTTTCATGGATTCACAAGTCTGATGTCGACTACAATTTCTAATCAGACCAACAAGTTGGCAACGAATCCAGAAGGTGATCAATATCTCCCATGCATCAAAAATTGAACCGTGTTGGAGGTTCGATTGCGTCGTCGTGTTGTAAAATCACTCTACTGCGTGTATTGAGACTAGCCAGCTGCAATGTAGTCCAAATCCGATGCCCGTTTCCACGACAAAGCACTAGCTGATTCTAATCGACCACCAACTGGATCTGAATCTCCGACGCTGCTAGAGCTCACGTTGCTGTCGTCGTGCTAGTTGTGAAACGGTGAGGCCCGCGAGATACTTATCTCGCATCGAGTTGGCGCAAACAATGTAGTATCCTGCCTACTACGGAGTTGTTGGATGATGACTGCATCGCATAGTACAAACAAACGCAATTGAGCTCGTGAAGGCACTTCCCAACATAGATGGCCGATCAGTTCGAAATTCATTGTGAACTGCGTCGCGTTTACGACGATAGCAATCTTGTGTGTGAGATATTCAGTTTCTAGTGTCTGCTGAAGTTTCAGGGATCCACGATTCTCCTTTGTGCTCCCTTCCTCAAGTACACTGCCGAAAAATATACGACGGCAGCGGGGGAGGGGGTATTCATTTAGTGGAAGACCCAGAAAGTGAGGAAAAGTGTCGCGGTTAGGCCCCAGTTCAAACTAAAAAACCAGGAAATTGATAGGTTATCATTTCAAAGGACGTTTTTGCAATTATTACAAAAGGCAGGTATATTTGATATTATCAACAATACAGGAGTATTCTTGATATTTTAGCAAATTTTAGGGGCATATCTGATATTTTCCCAAATTTTAATGAAATATGTGTAAATGTATATATATATATATATATATATATATATTAATTTTTACTTATTTTTTATAGAAAATAATTTTACTTTCTATATAATTTAGAAAAAGAATAACACATTAGAAATACAAACAAAAAAATATATTAAAATAATATATACATATACCAAATGAGTAGCAAATTGTGGTGGCAATAACAAAAATTATGATGGCAATAGCAAAAATTATGGTGGCAATGACAGAAACTATGGTGAAATTTACAACAGCACCAATTTACAATACTCCTTTTATTTATGTATATTTTATAACAATGTTACAATTTGATAATGTACAAATATAATATAATAATAAAATGAGTACCATTCATGCACATAGTACTAGATGAAATCTGACTTAAATTTGGACTACATTGCAGCTGGCTAGTCTCAATACACGCAGTAGAGTGATTTTAAAAGTTTCAATCAACATATATTGGTATATTTGAAAATTAATGAGGCAATGTGACAAATATTTGATCTATGATAAATTGATTGAATACAGAAAATGCAATTGAAATTTAACATATCAAAAAACGTTCACAGTTTGATATAATAACTAATCAGAATTTATAATGATATAGTGAATACTTGAATTTGAATTTTAGAACCATCTTTTTTCTATTATCTCTGTCTTAAAAACGTCTAAAGTAAAAGCATAGTCATCATAGCATATTAATAAGAGTCATGATGTAACTGTTCAAATGGTTCAATTGCCAAGTACGAAAACTTATCTTTTACATCGACTACAATGCGCTCCATGCCGAGTTATGTCAGAAGTTCATCAACCTTCAGAACTCCAGAAAACTCCTGAGTAGAACTTTGAAAGGAGCAGTAGCAAGATGCAACGGGTTGACCGTTTCCACTTCTCCACTCTGCACATTATTCTAGGCTAGCTACATTTCAAGAATGGGATGCAAGAGGAAAAACAGTCGAGCTACATCAAGACCTCCACCACTTCTACACTACATATTTCAGCCTACATACTACTGAAGACAATCCGTTGTGGCCTTTTTGATGACACAACACAGACGGGAAGTGCTCAGCAAAGTGATGATTTGTTCCTTTGAAATGAGAGTTACAGTCATATGCCTACGCGAATCAATAAATTCCTCAACTTCAATTAACTTTTCCAGTAACCCATTAACACACTGTCAGTGCCAAAGCCTCAGATCTTGCTGCTACCGCCTCATAAAAAAGCACTTGAGGCTGCAAATGTCCTCTCCGACATGTGCTTGCCACCTCTTTCCATTCCCCAATAACCTGCAAACATCGTATCACGTCCTTAAGTTCAGGAAAAATATTAAGGCAACACCTCAAAAAGCACTAGTCTGATGCAGACAAAGAGAAAAAAAAAACAAAACAAAACAAAACAAAAAAAAAAAAAAAAAAAAAAAAAAAAAAAACCATACTCTGATCACTAGATGATCCAACTCCATATCTACTCTTGAAGAATCCAAGACCAACAAAACCACCGTGTACAGCGACATGAGATACGAGGGTATGGGATTGATAGCAAAGGCAGGATTCCATATGTACCTTTACTGTGCTGTCATCAAACATTACCCACCTACCAAGCTCCTGATTATAGGCAAAACAATGATAATGAAGACCATAATAGCATACCTGAAAAAGTAAAGATTAATATGAAGAGTATCAGAAGCTAGCAATGTCAGGTCAACAAAGTTCAGCTGCCTATTGACATATTGCAGACAACTAGACCACACACAACTCTGCTTTAAAAACCAGCAACTTTTAACCTAAACCCAACAAAGCGGAGACAGTTATAACCAGAATAAACGTTACAGAAGTAGTAAAACCACAGTTCCTATCATCAGTTTCCAAACTCAAGGGGTAAAAGCTTACAACAGATACTAGTCTGTGATGGAACCCTTTATCAAGGCCACAATAAATAACGCCAACATCTAATGCAACATCAATAGCATCCACTGTGGCTGTTATATCTTCAAAGCTCTCCCGCCCGTTCTGCCACCCCAGCACTGCCACAAAGACCACAAGTAAACTCACAAGTTTCAGAAAAGATCACAACATACAGAACATCAAAAGAGTTTTTTCTTTAAGCAATAGTGTACAATATATCAAACACCATGCAACCACAGTGCAACGAGGAAGACGGAAGAGAGCAGAGTTGCACTCATATAAAAATCTAAATGAAACTATGAACCTTGAGCAGATCCTAACAGTAAACAAAGGATGCACATCTACAATCCATGTCAACTGTTTGCTTACCTGTCGTAAATACATGAGGAGCAGATTGGAGGAGGTGATGCATGTGGTTTTGCCGCCCACAACCACCATCATCAGTGATATCACATGCTAATTGGTCGTTCATGTCAACAAGTTTTAAAAGCTCGTCCATGGAGCTTTCCTGATACAGTACCTACGTAGAAACAGCAGGCACAACTTTAAATTTGAGGAATGTCTCTGCACTATTAAAAGTATAATTGTTTGAATGCGACATAAAGGATAACACATGAGCACATCAACAGGGTCGTTGATATGTCAAAGAACGGTTTGTTTAGGTATTTGACACACAAAAAAAAACCATAAGAAGTGTGGTGGTTCGATAAAATAGCACATAACTGCAAAGAATTTAAAAATAATAACATCTCCAGAATTTTGAACAACGAACCTTAGCAGTACGCAGTGCACTTGCATTAATGTGGTGAAAAAAAGCCGTGTACTTTAAGTGCCGAGACTCCAAATGACAGCTTTGGCAATTCATTTGCTCGGCAACGTGCAGTCCAAACAAAGCGTGAGCCATGCATGCATGCTCCCCATAGCAATCCCATGATCCTCGTGCTAAGCTACTCTCTGAGTTGCCAACAAAAGTAGCATTTGGCACGAAAGCCTTGTGTAGACACTCAAAAATAACTGCCAAGACTTCAGATGCATCATTCATTTGCCCCTGCAATACAACATAATATATAAGAATCAATAACGATTGATACTTCAACAACAATGCTTTAAGGAATAATAATAACTAATCGACAGCAATTACCTCAGACTCCCCAAACTGCTATTTTACGAAACGAGATTTTTAATTGGTGACTTCTTCGCAATCAGAGAGCTATCGCCTACCAATTGAAATGCACTACGAACCACAACACATTCAGAAAAGAAAAAGTAATGGCGATTGAAATTGACACTGCAATAACCTGTTTGAATAAGTCACTATCTGGATACAATGCACTGAGAGCAACCCGCAAAGCAATCGGAGCAACTGCATCTCTACTGCTGCTGTTGTGGACAGGCGTATCCAAACCCAAAAAAATATCACGCAGTGCACAAACCACACAAGGTGTTCCCACATGCACATGCTGCATACTCGTGTCAGCCAACAACTCCTCCCGAAACCGCCTCAAATGCCATAGTGACTGAAGAGGCAACACAACCTGCTTGTTTAGTTTTCTACAACATACAAATGATTGATAGAGTTTTAAAGAAATGAAAAGGACTGAATTTTATATGAAGTGAGTCCAACTTATAAGGAGCAGAAAAAACAACCTGTATGACTACATTGAGAAAACAGTTGTACTGCCCAATTTCGTTTCTCAGGCCTTTCCCAAACTCCTCAACTTCCTTCGAAAGTGCTTCAACTGCTCCAGGTTGAGATCCAGTAGTCCCTGCCTCTACCAGTTGCTGCGCTCCACAATCACCAGCTGTGCCGTTTGAGCTTACGGTGTGAAGAGGAGATGAAGCTATATAGCTTGAGGTTACTGGCGCTGCTGACTGCGAAGCTAACATGTCTGTTTTAAACAACAAGTGAAACCTTTTCAATAAGTTAAATGTAACATAAATATAAAACTAATTCCAGAAAGCATCCAGATGATTGATGTTCGAGAGAGATGTACTGTAACAACATTCAACTGGATCTTAGCCTCAATAACAGAAGCTGACACCAAAATTCACTAGGCCCTCACCTAAACTCTGACGCATGGCCTGCTCCAAATCAGCCTGAAACCGCTCCTCATCGTCTTGCTCTGTTTGAAGCTGCCGCAAGGTCTTCTTTACCTCATGCTCGGCACAACCTTCATGACAAAGAGAATTGTATTCACAGATGAGTTAAATTCAAGCCCAAATAAGCTACCAATGAAACCCAAAGAGTAACAATATAGATTAATTCAAGTAAAAGACAAACCTTATACATGATATAGATTAGGTGGTAATGGACTGCTCCACCGATCTATTTCTACAAGCAATCTATCCTGGACAAAGGGAGAGATCTTTGATGCACATTCACAGCCTAAATCTGGATTAAATGTAGAATTGTTCATGAAAGTTGTAGGGAAAAGATGAGAGTCACCGCGAAAAGCGAATGAACCGAAAATATGAAGCTCAAAGAAGCTAACCTTCATATGCAGGAGGTGCAGGTAATAGGAGGAGTGGCTGTGCTGCATGTACCCCGTTAGTTGGTGCAGCACCATAATTTCGCGTAGTATTCTGGCGCAAAAGAGGCTTCGACTTGTCTATAGAAGATGACGCCCCAAGCTCCTTTGAGAGGTTCTGCCTTGGAAATGTCTTTAACCCATTAGCAGATTCAAAAGTATTACAAGACTGTGGATCCTGATCAACTACTATACCTTCTTCAGCGTATATACGAGGACCCTTTCTGCGCCGGTTGCGGCTACTACCTCCTTTCGTTTTCTTCTGTACAGCATTAGGGTGATCACCATCCGCTGGTGGTAAGTGGATACCACCTTCTGACGCTATAACTTCCTCACGACTTGCTTTCCCCAAGATATTATTACACGTATCTTTCAGCATATGCTGCTCAGTAACTTCCAAATCAAATTCCGTCCCACCGGGCACATTTACAGAGATTTCAGAGACCTTATGGTCTATGACAGGGTGCATTTTCTGCGGTGGAAGAGAAGGACGCAAAACCTCTCTAGAGTTGTGTATTCCTTCTGTCGGAAGAACTACTTGACCATTCATAGGATCTGCCACTTCGGTGGGATATTGACAGCTTTTCTGAGCCACCGAGAGTTGCATGGAACTTGATGGCAACATCTCGGAGTTGACAACATCAACCAAGTCACTCGCAGTTGGTAGAGTGCAAACGGCTTCTTTCCCATTGTCCAAGGCCTGCATGGTCTGCTGTGCTAATTGCCTCCTCCGTTCTTGCTCCGCCAGATGTTTCCGCTTGGCTTCTTCTTCCACGCGCCGCTGTAACTCCAGAGCTTCCATAAGCTTGCGTTCCTCTTCTAACAACAAAGCTTGATGCTGAACTTCAGACTCGCGCTGTTGCTTTGCATCATCTCCAACCACCCAATCCCAATGGTCACCCCTGTCCTCTTCGTCCAACTCCACACTGTCAAGCACATCAAGTAGTGAGCATATGAAAAGATCCCAATTTCAGACACACAGAAGAATAAATGTAACCATCTCTCTCTCAACCCAACATCGGTGTTATTTAAGGAAAACAGCTTTGTTTCGTTCAGTTGAATAACCAAATACTCCAAAATCACGAGACAATTCAATAAATAAGAAGGTTGATATGGTACTTAAAAATTGCACTAGCACGCACTAAGTAAAACAAGCTAAGACCACGTCAATACCATCGTATAAAGCCAGTTCCAACAAGTAGCAATAAACCCAAACCCTTGCACATCTAACTGAGATGAACCCAGCTACATTGCTGTAAAATTCTTACATACAGTAATGAATGTATTCCCACCTGGCAGCTTCAACTTGCTGTCCTGCGTGGGAGAAACCGCGCTGCAACGGACAGATGGAATACAATCAGCATCAGTAATTGCAAACTCAAAAAACCCTTCAAGCATCAATCCTTGAGGCAACACGCCTTCAAGTTGGCAGCTTGAAGATCATACAAACTTAACTGAAATGTCTTAATCATCATAATTGACAAAGTCTTTGTTGAGGGTCACAAGAATTTACACAAAACACTATGTTGAGACAAACCTCAAAACGTTGCACCTGAGTAGAAGGACTCGACAACTGAAAAATACCATCTCCAGACCCATCTCACGCATAGGCCAAGAAAAATTCCAACTGACCTTTGCATCCTTGGACTTTTTCTGATCTTTAGCTTTCCTCTTCTCTTTTGACTTGTCACGGGCTTGCTTCTGATATTCTGCTTCTTTGGGTACTAAGTTTTTCTGATCCTTGGCAAGCTCCGCAAGAAAAGCTTCTTGAGCTGCCTCTGATTTCCGCATGGCATCCCTTTCAACTTCTGCCGCTAACCGATTCTGCAAAGTTTTACGGACACAGCTAGTATGTAAAACAGCTAGTATGTAAAACAAAACCCACATATAGCTTGCATTATATATATATATATATATATATATATATATATATATATATCGCATCACATAAAGAAAGACAAATACAACAAATTACTGAGGGTAGAGGTATCCCAATCCAGTTCCGATTGCACTTACCTGGAGAAAACTCTTCACGAGAGGGAGAGTAACTGCTGTATAATCAAGGACCGCCAATTGTCCAAGTTTAATCTCCAACTTTTCCAGATCATCCGTTGCTCTCATTATTTTTGCATCCAGGAGGTTAATCTGCAACATAACCATTTTTTTCCTTTCATCTTAGTTAAATAATTTTCCTGCAGTGTTGCTCAATTATTCACCATTTGGCTTATATTCTAAATTGGTGAGCGTACAATTTACCCAGACAAGAATGTTCTTTCTTCTATGACAGTACAAAGTACCTGACTCATCTTCAGGAAGTGCAGTTCCAGTTGAAGACATAATTTTAACAGTACATATCTGCAAACAATGAGCACTGAAATAAATCACCTTATTTGAAAGCTGTTCTCTTTGTCGAAACATTGCATCCTCCACACGAGAATCTTCATCTACGCGGGAATCAACACGATGGATGGACTCTGGCACTTTCCACGATTCTTCGTACTCATCCCAGTCACTTACACGGACTCCCAAGCTTCCATCACTAGGACGCCTGCGAACCATCCCAGTCTGAGCATCCCTTAAGATGTCACTAATCGCATCTAGCTCGGATTTTCGACTAGAAGAAAACCCACGTACGCGGGCATCGAGTAGCTCCTGCTGCCGGTCTTTCAAAATTACCTCAAAGCTGTTGCCAGTACCATCAGGTTGAAGTTCTCTTCTTTTGTTTTCTTCTACGCATAATCGTTCAACAAAGCTTAATGCCTCCTCATTACTCAGAAGTTCATATTTCTGTCTACATAAGTCGAGTATATTTTCAAGTTCTTTCTCAAGTTCACGGCACACAGCGCGCCCCCGCTGTCCCTGTTGCTCCCGAAACTGCTTCCAACCAGAAGGCAGATATTCATGTTCTAGGGTACCAAACATCCATGATAGTTGAAGATCCATATGCTTGGTACCTGGTTCTCCAGTCTTACCTATCATAAGACACAAAGGGTGTCGATGAGCTACGGGGTCTTTTTCGGCCGCGAACTCTTTGACTCCTCCATGCTTTAGGATTTCACTAGGTAAAAGTTTCCCCTCAGGAAATTCCTTGAGCACACGCTCGTCTAACAAGAGACGTGTAAAACCCTCGTTCAAAGACAGCTGATCTAGAATAATCTCTTCTTCACCAGCATCTCCACTTCGAGACAAAACCGTGGATTCTAAATGGCAGTTTACTCCACATGCCTGACCAAACTCCACAAGATAATTGTGTAGACGCTGAAGAGGTGATAGCTCCAAGAAGCGAATATACACGGGGGATTGATTGAACTCATAAGGCACTGCAGGATCTGACACTAAAGACTGAGTTTCCTCTGTGGCGAATTGGATAATCTTTGCAACATGGTCATGCGCTAAGCACTTGTTCCTGATGAGAATCCTGAACAGGTTGTAAATTTTCTCGAGCAGCTCTTTCCTTGACTTGTCTTCCGCAAGTGGTAGGTTTTGAGAAGGAATTTCTATTTTAGCAGACCGGTCTATTTTTATTCCTTTTTGATAATCTCTTATGCAGGTATGCAGATGCTCCTGGAATAATCCACTTGCTCCCTGGCCAAGTCCTGCTTCAATATCTTCAAAAAATTCAAGTTCCACCTTTTTAACATTCTCCACGCTCTCGGCCATGGTGACTTCATTCTCAGATTTCTGAGACAACTTCGAATCTTCGAACTGCATAGCGGTGGTTTCTATAGATTCTGATTCATCGGGCTGGTAAGAACAAGCAGATTGGATGAGCAGCTCGACAGCTGCAGCTCCATCAATTGGGCTGCAATCTTCATCCAGCAGCTGATCCACCCACTCTTGGTCGATCTCATGAGGTATCATCTGTTGAAATTTCTGAGGAAGAGTCGGCACATGCCTCTCCAAAGTATGATGACTCAGATCGTGGTAGCTGGTAAACCTTTCCCCACATTTGCAGCACACCCAGAAGCGCCAAGTTTTTTTCTCCTGCACGAACTCTAAAGCCTCGGAAAGAGCATCAGATGCAGCGTGACTTTTGATAAGTCCTCCGCTCTCCTTCCAAGATGTTATATGATCCCGCAATTCAGCGATAGATACTTCAAGCATACTCTCCCTCTTTTCAGGTGTAAGATCATACCAAAACTGTCGTACCCGATCTATTCTCTCATCTACAGAAAGGGGCTTGGAAACCTTTCGTGAATTTTGCCCACTAGATTTCCGTCTTTCAAGCTTTTTCTGAAGCGACTTTTCATGATCCTCAGTGGAGTCTATGCCACCATCGGCTGATGAATCCCTCTGTTGCAATAGCCTTGCAGCAGCAACCCGAACCTCAATCTCTTTCCGCCTCTCTTCAGGAGTCTTCACCACTTTCTTAGCCTCATGTGGACGCTTTGGCTGAGATACCCTTTGCTCCATTGGGTCCTGCTCTGCAAACTTCCGCATCTGTACAAATCGAAGCTTCTCCTCCCCAGAGCCATTTCCAAACGTCTTCATCCAGGTAGAAATAGAGGTTAAACTTGCCTTCTGAACCAAATTTTTTAATTCCTGTTTGACATGTTCAATGCGAGCTTCGGCAGTAAGAAGCTCCTGCTCCTGCTCATGGTGCAGGCTCTCACTCGCTGGATCAATGGGTTCATCAATATGTAGAGCTCTTTCACATTCTTGGACCACTACTTCATAGCCTTTGCTGTCTTTTGCAGCTTCATAAAGAAGCTGAGCATAAAAGTGCGCATACTCCACGGACCGAGGGGAAAGAGAAACAGCTTTTCTCGCGCTCTCAAGGGCGGATTGAAAGTGCTTTCTCTTCGTGCTAGTGTCCTCGATAACAGCCGCTATACGCATGAGAATATGCCCCTGCACACGATATGCTAGACTAGAAGCGTCATTTCGGCTACATACATCTTTCATGAGCTTCAAAGCTTTTGTACTGTTTCCTCTCCGCAAAGCCACCAATGCCTTGTCACACTCTCCTTTAATTTGCGCAGAATTCGAAGTTTCATCTTTCGCACCGCTAGTAACTTTACATCCTCCAGAACGAGCAATGGGCAGCCCCTTCCCTGCCCCATTCGGAAGCCGGGCGGGAGCAACTCCTTTCCCAAGAGTTTTCTCTGTGACATCACCTTTGCATGGACCTGTAACATCTCTTTTTCTTTGCCCTCCTCCAGTCTCCGATAAAAACGCTTCTGCAACCGTTCCGGCTTGGATCTCCGGCACTGCCACCGCTTCCCGCGAATCGCTATCATACGGTGCAGATGAAATCAACCACACTGGAGCGTTGTTTGGCTGGGAAGAGGGCACAGGAATATTTACAGAAGCAGTGCGAAAAGCGGATGCTTTCTTCTTTTGCGCCATGTGCAGAAGTGCAATTTACATACATGGCCATGGGTGCCGCATAGCAACCAATTGGTCTCCTACAAGCGCGACTACACTCTACCTTTCTTCGCCATAGCTGTTAGCACAAAAGAACTACAGAAATACGAAACATATCTTCATGATCCGCCTGCGTTCAGTCAAAACCCTGATGCTCTCATCTCATCGGTTGCATTACTTTCTACGAAATAATCCGTCACGAAGCAACCACCTCGATTGAACGATGCGAAATCCCTACCCATCCCTCAGAAGAATCATCTGACAACTCCAAGAAAAACCCTACGAGATGAGAAACTCCTCAGGTTACTCTGGTAAGCAGCAGAAAGATGTTACAGGTGGAATCAAGAAAAGCATAATCACGTTCCAACGCATTAACACGCTTAGATGAACCAACAGACGTCCAAAAAAAGCACTTATACACCATTCTCGCTTTCACAAGAACAGAACCCCAAAGTCTTGAGCGAACGACCAAACTCGATAACAAAACCCTAAAAAGAACATGTCTAGCTTTCTGGAGTATCGAACTCGGTAGATTCAATCAAAAGACACCATCTCTTAAATCGGTTACACCGTCCCTTATTACTCTCATTGTCAAACCACTCACAGTTCTCACCTGATTCGCGGTAGGCGCACATTGGAGTACTTAATTCCTAGACGTTACACCAAAACCGCCAACCGCGAACCTGCTCCCCAGAAAGATGACAGAAGCTCGCACTTAAAAACATGGCTCTAAATTACAGAGAAATCCCTAACATTGGCTCAACTTTTGAAGATCACACTTGCTCCATTCACGCACGACTGGCACTTCGCACTACAATGCTACCAAAACACGGAAAGCCTGCATGAAGCATTTGCAGAATCCTAAAGCAGTGTCACAAATCCAGAGCAGATTGAAAACGACAAAGACTGGAATGGAAGGTGCAGACGACCTTACAAAGAGAGAGAGAGCGAGTCGATTGATCGCAGTAGAACTCGCGAATGAGCCGGATCCGAACAGAAGAAAGACAAGTAGAGCGCACGCAGACGGATCGCAGCTTGAAAAGTCTCCGAGAAGGGAATCGGAGAGCGAAGAGCAGAAGTGCAAGGGAGGGAGGGAGAGTGCGAGGAAGAGAACAAGAGGGAGCTGGAAGATGCAATTGAATTTGCTGCAGCGAGTGAGTGTTCTAGCAATGACGGAAGAGAGAGACACAGACCTTCAAGGGGGAGGGCTAGGATGAACAAACCATTTTGGATGGACGTCAACTGCTCTGCTTTGATGCATGGATGAATGGATTTTATTGATGGATGGATGAACGGAGTCAGAATATTTAGGGCTTGAGAACCGAACCGATTTCATGCTTAGCAAAATCATCATTCTCGCAAGAATAGTTCGACACCTTGTCAAACAATTTCGCCTCGTTTAGATTTTGGAAACGAGTGTATTACTGATTGGACAATGAGATTTTTTGGACAAGCAAATAAATATATATATATATATATATATATGTGTGTGTGTATGTATGTGTGTGTAAAATATTTGTAATGAAAATATAGATAAGTGCATAGTTTATTGTGTTTGATGTTAAGCAGATTCTTTTGGTTTTAATGTATTATCTCAATTTTGGTAAAATATAATGTTATAAACTTACAATAAGCTTAAATTAAAAATACCATTTATATGACCTTTTATATGACCACTTAAATGAGAACATGATTAATAGATCATATTAAGTAATAAAATTTGGGTTAATAAAAATTTATAATGCGTCAAGCTTCTTGATGTAAAAAAAAATATTGTAATGATGTGTACTTATAAATGTGTACATATAAAAATTATTGTACGAAACTATAGATTATTGCACTATTATACTCTTGTTAGAATGAATTTTGTGAAAGAACTAAAATAAAAATAAAAATCCATGGCATTAACAATGAGTAGACAAAATGCATGATAAGTTTAGTAATAAATTAGTTTATGCTACATATAAAATTTAAATTCCAAATTATTTATTTAATCTTTTTAATTATATATTTTTATAAAATTATGTAATATATTATTTCCAAGTTGATGTAGTGTAATAAGCAATAAATATATATATATATATATATATATATCAAAAATTCAAATATTTTATTATTTTAAAAATAATAAAAATATGTGTATATATGTATATATATATATATATATATATATTATATTACCTGCAAAAAAATTAAAAATTACACATTTGTAATTAAAGTAACATTAGTGATATGAGTTATTTCTACAATCCTAATCATCAACACAAACTAAAATACTATTTAATGTTAGGATATTCACTAAAAATAGATTATATATTAATTTAAATCTTAGTAGATCTAATTGAAATATATTTAGAATTCAAATTAGATATTATATTAAATTTTATTGTATTAACTGAAAATGTACTTGATATTTGACAAGAATTGACATAATTTGATTTAGATTGAATTGGTTTACAAAAAACAAATATGTCTATATACAAGCTATATGTATGGATACATCTTTTAGGCTTGAAACAAAATTATAATTTATTTAATTTTTAAATATTAATAAGTATTATAAAGTTAAAATAAAATAATTAAAAACATTTAAAACTTTTCCATTTCATAGTAAATAACAAATATAATAATATTTTATGATTCACATTTATGATATATTGAATGAATTTTTTTTTAACATTGAAATAATATATAAATATTTATTTAAAATTTAGAATATAACATATATGTATACATATATATATATATATATATATATATTGATTAAAATAGGTCAAACAAATCAATATAATGTATTGTCACGTGACATGGCATCAAGTGCCAAATCCCATTGAATACATGTAGTTTAATTTCGTTAGTGATTTTTCATCCATTTTAAATTTTCCGTTAGTTGACTTTGTTAATGTCAACTAAGATTTGAATACTTAGGTAGAGAAAAACCCTTCACTTGACATTCTTGTCAAGTCTTGTGAGTGATTTTGAGATAGAAAAGACTTGTTGCAATGTTTGCTTGGCTATGGTGATTTAGCCATTTTAGAATAATTTAGGGTTTTCTCTATTCTTCACACTTGCACTCTTGGATTCCTCTGGACAAAAATTCTTCTATTCTAAAATGGTGTAGCAGATTGGAACGAAATAGATATTTAAAAAATAAAAATGAAAATAAAATGCGATTTTTGGATTGTTTTTGATGCTGGATTTTGGCAGTGCTGGGTGCTAGAACCCAGTTAGGCGACGTACTGTTGTGCTGGAGCAAGACTGTGACGGATTATAGTATGATATTGGAACGGTACTAGGTCGCATTGCCAGGCGGGTTGCGGCACTAGAGAATCGTGGTCGCGGATTTACTATGCAGATCAGGAGATCGGGGTCGCAACGTAGGCAGCAGGCAAACCAAGGTGCTGGTTTGCGAAACGGAACTGCGGTGCAGGTGGGTCGCAATATTTGAGTGTTGTGCGCTGGATCAAAGCGCGGTGCGGCAAGTACATGTGTGGCGCTGGGCGGAGGCGGAGCTAGGTGCTGTGGAGTAGGGTCATCGAGCGGGTTGGAATCCATGTGCTGTGCGAGGCGCGGCTTGCGAGGCGACGTTCGTGATCTCAATTTCCTACTTCCATTTGGTTTTTCGTGTGGTGTAACACGAAAGATTTGGTGCAGTTTGCACTGGTCAGTGCGGCACGGTGTTTTTAATTGTTGTTTTGTTTTTAGGCGATGGGAGCGGGATCAGGGTCTGGTGTGGTGGTGAATTGTACGGAGCAGCGGCTCGCACCTGTGTTGTGCAGGAAGGCAAGTGCGGAATTGATTTTGATTTATATTCGGTTCCTATTTACGAACAGGTGTACAAACTTGTGTTGCAAACCAGGGTTACGGCGCAGGGTTCAACACGACCAGCAACTATTATGTACAATATTGTGTACTATAATAATTAAAATAAAAAAATCAAATTAGCTTGCGGCGGTGAGCGGCGCCCCTCTGCGACTTAAGGCATCAAGTGACGGTAACAGGTTCCACGGTCATGGGAGATGTACTATTACAAGACTTCTCACGGTCATGGGAGATGTACTATTACAAGACTTCTCACGGTCATGGGAGATGTACTATTACAAGACTTCTCACGGTCATGGGAGATGTACTATTACAAGACTTCTCACGGTCATGGGAGATGTACTATTACAAGACTTCTCACGGTCATGGGAGATGTACTATTACAAGACTTCTCACGGTCATGGGAGATGTACTATTACAAGACTTCTCACGGTCATGGGAGATGTACTATTACAAGACTTCTCACGGTCATGGGAGATGTACTATTACAAGACTTCTCACGGTCATGGGAGATGTACTATTACAAGACTTCTCACGGTCATGGGAGATGTACTATTACAAGACTTCTCACGGTCATGGGAGATGTACTATTACAAGACTTCTCACGGTCATGGGAGATGTACTATTACAAGACTTCTCACGGTCATGGGAGATGTACTATTACAAGACTTCTCACGGTCATGGAAGCTGTACTATTACAAGACTTCTCACGGTCATGGAAGCTGTACTATTACAAGACTTCTCACGGTCATGGAAGCTGTACTATTACAAGACTTCTCACGGTCATGGAAGCTGTACTATTACAAGACTTCTCACGGTCATGGAAGCTGTACTATTACAAGACTTCTCACGGTCATGGAAGCTGTACTATTACAAGACTTCTCACGGTCATGGAAGCTGTACTATTACAAGACTTCTCACGGTCATGGGAGATGTACTATTACAAGACTTCTCACGGTCATAGAAGCTGTACTATTACAAGACTTCTCACGGTCATGGGAGATGTACTATTACAAGACTTCTCACGGTCATAGAAGCTGTACTATTACAAGACTTCTCACGGTCATGGGAGATGTACTATTACAAGACTTCTCACGGTCATAGACATCCGTTGTCATAGGTCCCACGATCAAGGGAAATGCGGCAAAAGGTCCATTTTCACGGTCATAGGGATTTAACATAAATCAAATAAAACACACGCATTGTTTAGAATTCTTAAGTGTTAAGTTTGGAAGTTCATTCTAATAGCATATGGAGTCCAAACTTGATCATTTATAAATCAATTTTATGTAGAAGAGACCCAAGGAACCTATTGGCATTCTTTGTTTTAGAAGTGAAGATCATTTGGAGCTATGAAGTGGGATTTGCTATATGCCAATTGTTTTTTAAGCGAGTTTTTGATTTTCTCTCACTTCTCTACATTTCATTTTGTTCTAATTGTCTTATTTTTTTACAAGTTTTGCAATTTGTGACCATTGACTACATATAAGTGCTAGTTGCTCTATTTCACTTTTAATTTCCGCTTCTATGTTGTTGGAGATGAAGATTCAATGTCAATTTTAGGATTTTATTTTTGATACCATCTCTTAGTTATACATAATGTTTCTAGAGGTTTTCCATGGTTATCTCATTTTGTATTTGTACTAGTGAATGTTGATAGGCATACCATAGAGATGAGGTTAGATTGATGGCTGGCAAGATCCTTTTGTTTATGGATATGTTGGACCTATAATGATCTAGAGCTGAGTACCAATGAATTGCAAAGTTTGATAATAGTTGTAAGGGTAGATTGTCCTTTGAGCCTTTAGATAGTTGTACGTATTCAAATAGTTTTTTTTATGGTGCATATTAGGATTTGATATTATTACTCTTTTTTACCAAACTACTTGGATAGTAATAACATCCAAAACTTTGGGCCAATGATGGATACTAATGAGGTTTTTTTTAACATGTTTCAATATTAAATACATGTTAAAAATACTACTAGAAGGCTTAGAGTCTAGAATAGACACATTTTATAAGATGGAGGACAATCTTTGCAACATAGTGAGAGATTGGTTCTTAATATGAGTTAGAAGTTTAAGTTTCAAATGTAAATGAAGAAAAAGATTTAAAGGTCTTATATTTTTAATGAGTGATATGCCTTTGAATTATTACTACAACATTTGAAGCATAATGCACTCCAAATCTAAAGATGGAGTAAAAAATATTTACACGAGTTGCAAGAATTGAAATATTATTAGAAAGTGAGTATAGACCTTATTTCAGTTCTTAAGAGGGTGCTATCACAAGTCTAATGCCTACGGTGAAAGAAGAAGATCCACTCTAAGGAAAAGTTGATACATATTTAGAAGAAATTAA